GCTGGACCCTGCGGGGTGGGATGGAGACGGCCGCGGCCGCCGGACTATACCGATAGAAAAGCGTTTTGCACCACAACAACGTGCCTTGTGACGTGACAGCCAGGCGGGCGGGCGGCGCCGCGTGGGACGCGGTGTGTACAGGCTTGAGGTGATCCATCCAAGCAGCGGAGCTTCAGATGCGCTTGAGCGCGCTATTTTAATGAGACGAAAGCTAATATTATGAGTTTGAGCAACTTCAGGGGCATCGGGCGTGTCATATGCTGTTCAATAGCTTGCAAAGTACCTTAAACCCAACATACTACACCCATCTGCATTGTGTTCTGTATAATACATATGTGCGCATAGTTGTGACCAATTTTACATAGGTATGCACGAACTTTTGTACAAAACTTGTTCAAATACACTTACTGCACCCAGAGAAAAGCAGTTCGTTGGCGTAAAGAAATTGTATTTATACCTTACGTTTTTCGTTAGGAATGACAAAATTTTTTACTTAATCCAACGAAATTTTCGCCAAATTAAAAAAGATGTTTGTCAAATTGAAACAAAATCCTTCAGCAAACGAAATTTATTTGTTACAACTAAAATTTTATTGGTTTCGGCTACGTCAAAATTTTGTGGTTAGAAAGATATGGGTTGTCTGAGTGTGGATTATGAACTTTTTTTATTCGTGAAGCAGTCAAATTTTTGGCACAAATTTCTGCGTTTCGTTGTACGAAATCGTTCACTCCTTCGCACAAATTTGACTGAAACGAGCTTTGCATAAAACATAAATTTGACGTGTCATGATTTTGTTCAAAATAGATGGAATCACGCGCGGTTTTGATGGGGGCGACATGGGGTAGCCTCCCCTCCCCTTCCCCCAACAGCCCTGGAAAGCCGCCTGAGAGGTAGGAAATTTACTGTAAAAAAAAAAAAACTGTATGGATGCAACCCTCAGCACCCCCGTCAGCCAGCCCGACCTAAAATCGCGTCTGCACAAAATTGTGCATACACTAGTGGCCGTTTAAAATACTGTTTCTGAATAATAAAATGCATAATGGTTTCGTGTGTAGTGTCATAATATTTTTTTGTAAAAGAATGAAATGGTTATTTTACGACGCCACAGTGCTCGCCACAGTGTTTCTCAGGAAAACCTTTCCTGTAAAGCACCCAAGTATTTAGCACAGTGCAGCAGGCGGTGGACGGTCGACACTGCGTGTCAACCCGGGCGAACCTCCTGGACCAGACGACACACATTTAGTACAATAAAACAAACGGTGCTGAACCACAATGCCACACCACTCCGACCGATCAGTCGTTGTAAAGCGGATGCCGCCGCGTTTGTAATTGTAATGCTCTGGTCGAGCGCGGCGCCAGTGACAACCCGCATAGCAGCCCCCCCCCCCCCACACACACACAACACGCACACAACACGCACCATTCCTCTCCCACAAACAGGCACGCGCGCGAACATAAAAGGGGCAGAGATGAGCGGAAAAAAACATATGGATGCCTACAGTCCAACTGTTACATGTGTACATGAAAACGGGGTGAATTTTGTCTACCGCCGAAAAAAAGCGTCGCGTGGTTGAAAACTTCTAGTAAATATTTCAATTCTTCCAATTGCAACATAAAACATGGGTTCAAAACATTTCCACGAAGTTTTCTGACGCAATTCAAGCCAAATTGGTGGTTTAACATCCCATCTCCCGTGTTCCAGTAGGGTGTACACTGTTCCCTGCTGTTCTCCTGAAGGAGCCATGGCGCGGGCTGGGAGACGCACACTGCACCGCACACCGCCACCGCGCGTTGGGTTGCCTACCTCCCGGGCGGCGGAGCTCGCCGCACTGAGTGACGAGTGACGGGCGATTAGCAGACGCACAGACCGACGGACGCAGACAGGCCAACCCCGTCCTGTCCCGAGGGAGCGTCGCATGCCCCGACCACGCACGTGCAGAGCAGTGTAGCTTTCGTGGGGTGCGGGGCCGATAGTTGGCGAAAACATATAAGCCGGCAATCGTCGGTTTTGCGAATGACAGCCCCCCCCCCCCCCCCCGGCGAGCATCTACATCCTGCCATTCGGAGCGCCCGCCCGCCGGTCCGTCCGTCTATCCGTCTGCCTAACGCGCCATTCATCCGCCCATCCCA